CTTCCCATGCCGTTGGTTTACGAGGCAAATGTCATGGGCTTCACACAAGTGCCTTGGCTTTTTTCGGCACCTTCAGTTGCGGATGCCTGAAAGCGAGAACCGAATTCCAGCCCTATCCCCAAAGCTCCCAGGCCCAATATGCCTTAGCCCCGAACTGCTGAGCTGCTAAACCCGGAACCTCAAAAAGTCAACATTGAGTGCTCCCTCGGTTCCTCAAAAAGTCAACATTGAGTGCTCCCTCGGTTTGGGGTTTAGGGGTCCCTAACCCCTAAGAAACGCCCCGTTGAAAATCCATAAAAGAGATCACTACAGCGGGCCCCTAAAGGCCACCCACCACTCCCCCATCAAAAACAAGAAGCTGACAACAGAATACTTAGTCGGCTAGACCCTAAACCCTCAACCCTAAGCCTTAAACCCTAAGCCCCAGAAGGACTGCCCCATGGGCATTTGGGTATTTTCCTCCGGATGGTTGGCGATTTTGCTGGGCTTGCTCGGAACGCCCTACTTGCCGGACCTGGGAATAGGGCAAAGGGATTTTCGTTTAGATGTTCCTGGTTCTTGTTACGGAACTTAAGTTAAGTTGCCTCGATCAGGGAACCATGTTGTTTATTATAGATCCCTGACATGGTAACTTACATGAGACTCCTCAGGAAGAACCCAGTAGATAGGGTGAAGGATGGACGGGTCACTGATGAGGGTACTGGGATTCAGCGTTCAGGATAGAGACTTATCAGTCGTGTCTATTTAAAGAGACTTATCAGTTTATCAGTCTTGTCTATTTACAGTCCCTATTACAGTCATAAATGTAGTAATACATAGTAGTATATTATACCCCAAAACCCTATTCTAATTGTTGAGGCCCCCATTTTCGTTCCTGGCATCCCCCGCTTCGAGTACACCAAGCCGTTCACCCTAAGTCGCAAGCCTTAAAAATTAAAAGGCCCGAAGCTTTAAACCTCTATGTGTCAACGGCTGAGGGTTTAGGTTTTTATACCCTGAGACCCAGGAACCCTAAACCTTGACATGCTCAACCCTCAAACAGCTTTATATCACCGTCAGAAAGAGTGAGGACTGTTGCAGTCCTTCCGATGTTGGGTTCATCGATGTGGCCAGCATCCACCAGCAGGACCGTCGGTGAAGTGCTGCTTTGGGGTATAAGGATACTATACATGTAAGGATCACTGGCGTCTACAAGCATGATGTATTCCTGTAACGCCCCCAAACCCTGAATCCCAAGAGCCCTAAACCCGACAGCCCTAAACCCTAACTCCTAATGCCAAAGATCGCCGACAGCTACTACGATAGAGAAAGGGGTAAGAATAGACCCTTTTCAAAACGCCTAGAACCCCTAGAGAGCCCGTAGACTTCTCTTATGGAGCTCTGAAAAGAAGCCCGTGCCAGCAGGCTTAGGGTTTAGGTTACCCTAAACCCTCTGCCTCAAAACCCTTAAGGCTTTAGAGTTGAGAGGACCGTGAGCTGATGGAGAGAGGGGTCTACGGCATTGCGGGTTTTTTGCGCGTCTCCTCGGAGCTTCGGATACTGTGGAGTTCGCCGTACCTGTCCGGACCTCGGCTCAGCAAGGCGCTATTCCGTAAGCCCTGAACCGTAAGAATAGGGTTTTGGTGGGGCAAGCCGGAAGCTCTTTAGGGTTTTTGGTAGGGTGTTGTTTTCAGGGTTCTACGACGGTGTAGAATTTAGGGATTTTGGGCTTCGGGTTCAACTTTGAGTTCGGCATAGTGGCGGCTGGCTTAGGGTTTGGACTGTAGCAGTAGCATTGAGGGCTATACAGAAGCCTGAAGACTTACACATTTCATTCCTTAAGGGGACCTTGATGATGTTTATATACCCTAAACCCTAAACCCGAATTCTTAAGATATTTATCTACCCTAAACCCTAAAACCTAAGCCCTAAAGCCCCTAAAGCGCATTCTACCCGAGGGCCCTCTTCGAATTCTTAAGGCGCCTCTACGATCTTCTTCGGGGTTTCGTCTTGAGGGTCCATGGCCGAGCTGGCTCTTCCTCCTGAGAGGGGCCAGCGTTTAGGGTTTAAGGCTTAGGGTTTAGGGTTCAAGGTTTAGGGTTTTGGGTTTAGGGCCAGTTTAGGGTTTAAGGTTTAGGGTTTAAGGTTTAGGGGCAATCATAGAATAGGAACTGTGAGTACTATGCAGATCCAAACACTGAAAGACCACGCTGAAGCATACTGTTAGGACCAGGAAGTCACGACAACCGGGCCGGTTGATTGCTATGCTTGGGAAACACAGGTCGCAACTAGTTGCCATCTCCATTTCAGCATATTACACCAGCACCTGGGGGAAAGCGATTTCGCCGTGCTGTCGAATGGTTCTGTTCCCCGCCGGTACTTGGGAGAAGGCATTCCGCGTGTCGTCCTCAAGGCACCAGTACTTGGAGGAAAGCATTTTGCAACATGCAGTGTCCTAAGTGTCGTGGTGGTCTCTTGGTGCTGTCCTGCTGGTCTCCTGCTGTCTCCTGGGGTCTTCGTTGCCTTTTCCTGCAGTTTTGGTGACTCTTGGGTGGGCGGTGCTTTCATGGTGTCTCGCGAGGATTGGACGAGTCGTCTGTGGAAAAGCTCACCGACCTTCGTTCGGGTTTTCACATGCTGAGCTCCGTTAGGAGTGAGAGCTGCAGAGCAGGCCTGGCACCAGGAGTTGTGGGACCGTGAGAGTCATCTTGTGCTGGGCGGTTTGAAAGGTTTGGCTGGCACGGGCCACATGCGCATCGCTACTACTGGCTGTGCCGTTTGGGATGGTGTCTTGCTCTCACACGGCTGCCTGGTTCGCAAAGGCCTTGAGCTCTGGGAAAGGGCAGGCGCGCATCCTTTTTGACAACTGGGCGCTAGCGGGTGGTTGCGTAGCAACCGGAGTGGCCGCTAGCCTCCTGGATTCCGAGCCCGAGCCATTATAATTATAAGGCCTCCGTGGGACTGCCCGCCGGAGCTTGCAAGGGGCTTGAACGCTGAGGCGGATGCCAGATGCACTGGTCAGCTGGCTGCTTAATTCCTCATTGGCAGGCGGCAGGTGCCCTTGTGGTCCGAACGTGCGACAAGCCGGCAGCTTTCTCTGACGCAGCCGTGTGCTGAGTCAGTTCGCTTTTGAGTGCTGACGGGCGAGTGGATGGAACCGCGCGTCTACCGAACCTGCTAATGTGCCGGCGTAAATTAAGACATCGGCCTCTTTAATGCTTTTTTTCCCGGGCTAATTCGAGCCGGGACAAAAAATGGCCGGCCTAAATAATGCGCTTTTTTTGGACCGATATTTTTTTTAGTTTTGTCTTTCCCTTCTAGTAATGGTCAATTCCAAAGCAGCCACGAAACTGGAATCAAACTTTGTCTCAGCCACGGCAGGCAAACCCTAAAACCCTGAAGCCCGAAACTCCGTAATTCCCAAGCCACCCTCAAGCCTAAACCCCTAATTTCTAAGGACCCCTGAGATCCCCCAATTCCCTTCTAACTCAGTCAAAGCCCCAATCTACCGAACATTGGTCCAGGGGGTCACGGGTCACGATCACGTAATTCGAGCCGCACGGTTTTGGTGGGGGGGTGTCTATAATTCGGGCCTCCAAATTACATGTACTTCCTGGGTCTGCCCTTTTTCTGTTTTTTTTCGCAGCCTGGTCCGGTGTGGTATTGTGCCCTTTGGGGCTTGGTGGCGCTTTCAGGTTGTCTAACTGCTCTGTTTGCAAGTTGGCATCGATCAAGGGGTTGAAGGAATTGAAGCTGCTGCCCAGGTCCCGTCTTTGGTGCATTTTCGAGCTGGCAGCATACAAGAAGGTGGGCCTGTCTTGAAGTCGAAATGAATGTATTTAGCAGTTTCAGGAATCATGATTGTGCTTGTAGTGAGTGCCAAATTAATTCTTCAGCTCAACCAAATAAAAGTGTCGTCACGTCTCGAATGACCTAGGCCCTACCCTGCCCCAACAAAACTTGTCATTTTAGGGGCTTGCACTGGGAAATGACAATAAGGAACCCTTAAAATTTAGGTTTCGTCGGGTGAATAGCCCTGCAGCTCCACAAAACCTACCTTTTATTAAGGTACAGCCTAGCAGGTCAATCCGTGTGGCATGATCACTTTCCGACCGCTCTACGTCGAACCCTGGCTCTGGCAAGAAGTGTAGGTGGTAGGACTTAAGATGAGAGTAAAAAGGGGTTTCGGGTTCAGGGTTTCCTGTTTTACACAGTAAGGGGTTTTAGCGTTCAGGGTTTTATAGGTTTTGTGGCCTTGTAAGGTTTTTGGCTTGGGTTTTGGGGGATCGTAGCTGGCACGTGCACATTGTGTACCCGGCGCACCACTCTTGCTCTCGAGCTATGGCTACGATGCAGCAGCCCAAACACAACTCTTGAAACACCCACTGGATCCCCTAAACACTGCATCCCAAATTCTAACCCCAAAATCGTTCTCTCAGCCCTCATTGTGTATATGTTTAGTGGATTACAAAAGTATGCATAGCATGAACCAGTATCATATATAGCACAATATGCTACATAATTTCAGACAGTATATAATTGTAAACTCCCGCCAGCCTCGGCCCATAGGCATTGGGCTTTCGGACTTTTACACCTAAACCCTGAAGGCCCCAACCGGAAAACCGCCCAAAACCTTAAAACCCCCACCGAAGATCGCGACTCCTCCTTGCAGGAAAGGGTCCTGGCCATAATGCTGCTCTCTGGTGCAAGCTTTGGCCTTTGCTTCGTGTTGGTAAGGCTGGCGGGGGCCTCGGGTTTAGCAGGTTCAGGGTCAAGAGTCGGGGGCGGCAGGTTGTGATGTCGACCTTGGGCTAACATGTCCCATCAACAGGGCCTGATGTCGTTTAAAAAGGTGGATAGCCCTGAACCCCTAAAGCCAAAGCCTTTGAACTCCTCAACTCTTGCAAACCGGGTTGCGTGTTTAGGGTGTGGGCTTGAGGGTTTCGGGCTTAAGGTTCAGAGTTGAAGGTTTAGGGTTTGGGGTTGCATACATAAGGCCCTGAATAATGGACTGTTACTGTATGGGGGCACAGATACCTGGGTGCATGCATCGTCGGCTGAAATACAAGGCGCTGTGTCATGATTCATGCAGCCTGCAAGGGAGGAGGAAGACTAGATCCTCGTGCGGCCGGACGACTGACTGTTCACTCATGCAAGGCTACCTTGGGTCTTCACTACGGTTCTTTACGTGGATCCGAAATATAGGACCAGGTCTGTTCATCAGGTTCCTGCATGAATTTATGCTTAAGGTTTGGACCCGTGGGCGACGAGGGCCAGCGACTGTTTTCATGAAATTTCCGCCCCCGAGACTTCTGGGCTTCCGATGTGGAGCTTTGAGGGTTTTGGGCTGCTTGCTTAAAGGGTCAGGGGACTTCGAAAGTAGGGTTATCAGAGCAGGGTCACTCTAGCTGCAATTCTTCATACTACCAACTACGATTCTTCAAACCCGAACTTTTAGGGCGTAGGTTCAAAGCCCACCCCCGGCAGGTCGGGTAGTGGAGGAGCCTCCATGGCTTATGTTGGCTATGCGCTCTTCGTCATTCCGTACACCATTGCTGCAGTTCTCCTGAGGAGAGCTTGCTTAGGGTCTTAGCTTTGCAGGCTTTGACTAAGTCTGCCGGGGGTGTGGCCGTGTTGAGGAGAAATTTCCGGGAGAAGCACATGCTGTTGCTCGGCAAAAGGTAGGGCTATGAGAATGGTAGCTGTACTGTAGCGGCCAAATGATTACTAGGAGTATCCCTTTATAGCCTCTATACAGCTCTACGAAAGTTGATGTAATCATGTCCCTGAAACTCTACTTTACTCAAGTCGAAAATTGAAGGCCCTTAGATCGTAACCCGCAGCCCTGCAGGTGCAAGCTCCTGGAAGCCTGAAACCCTCCGTCCCCTGAACCCTAAACCCTGAACCCTACTGTATGACAAGGTGGGCTCAGCAGTGCTGAGTGTATGACTAAGGGCTTTTTCGTGTGCCTGTATATGGGTATTCTGAGGGCTTCATTGGCTCCTAAGCTCCATCCCTCATGATTGATAGAATGGTGACATGGCACGGTACGTATACGCAGAGCCCAAACCTAAGCAAGTATTGAAAGTCACTAGTAATCGTCATGGTGGTAACTGCAGCATTAGCAGGAACGGTAACCGCAGCAGCAACGGAAACAATAGCGCTGGTGGCGAACTGTGAGGCTCGCGTTTCACCGTCGAGTTCCGCTCGAAATGCCCATGTGCGAATGCAGATGTGTAAGGTCTGATTAGTATGTTCAGTCAGTATGCCTTGCTTAACTTAAACACCTTACATAGCCCTCAAAACCCTCCAAGGAAAACCGAAACCCTAAGCCCTTGCCAAATCATTGACCTTACAAAGACCTTGTACTCGTACTGCACGGCCCAGGCGACAGGAGTTGGAGACTTTTGACTTTAGCAACGTCTCTTGCGCAAAGGAGTTCGACCGATCCTTGGTGGCAAGATAACCGGATGGATGGGTAAGGGCCCGCGCTTTGGGTCGATTGGTTTAGGGTTAATGAGTTAAGGGCTGTGGCGGGTATAAGAGCAGACGACATGATTGAAATTCACGAGACTCCCAAAACATATTGCCGCTACTCTCGTGATGCCCATTACCTGGCTGTGACAATTCTGACGGGAAGGCCAATGCAACACGAGGGTGATGGTATTCAGGATGACGGATGATGATCATCTTGCTGCTCACGGCCGCAGTTGCCGTGTGAACCTGCAGCTTGACAGGGGTAATAATTTGAATATTAATAAACTTGTTGTTTCTACCTGATATCATAATATTGTTATTATTATTGCTACTATCATTAGTCATGGTTCGTATTGCCTGGGGGAGGAGGATGTTTCATGGTTTGGGTCTAAAGATCTGCTTTTAGTTGCTGGGGGCCTTGCGAGGGGTCCTTCGGCTTGGCATGGGGACCGGGTGTAGGGTTTAAGGTTCAGGGTTTAGGGTTTAAGGTTTAGGGTTTAGGGTTTAAGGGATAACTTGGTGATTGAAGTCAATGAACTCATTCATCACCAAGACTATTTCTTCGGGCTCCTCAATATAATTGCACCCTACTATACACTCAGAAAGCCCTATTCTACCCTAAACCCCAAACCCTAAACCCTAAACCGTTAGCTCTAACCATTTTTACCCTGGTTCTTGTGTTGGGCGAGTCGTGTCCATCGGGCCTTGCACCCCAAGCTCTGAGCCCGAAGCTTTCGCTATGGTTGCCCTGTGTTTCTTGTTCCGGCTCGTTGTGTCCGGCCATCATCGCTGCTATGGCATCAGGCGCCTGGCTTGCGAGTATAGTGATGATATAGCCGAGATTCTCTGGATGAGGTTTGCAATGGTAGATGCGTGCACTCCTGCTTTGTTCACCTTGCCGTTTTCGGTTCTGGGCCTGACAGCGCACCCTGCACAGCGACGGCGAGATTCGAACAACCACGGCTGACAGGGTTTAGAGTTTAGAAGTTATGGTTTGCTGCTGAGGCCCGTTCAGCCCTGTTGTTGACGCCACATGCATTTGGGCATACAGAGCCTGTGTTTCCACACGGGGCTGTATATCAACACTGTAACTAATTATGTACGTAGGGCGTGTGCGACAGGAGGACTGTGAGTGTGGTTGTGTCTGTGTGTGGGTGGGTGTGCGTGCGTGCGTGCGTGCGTGGGTGGGTGGGTGGCTGGGTGGCTGGGTGGCTGGGTGGCTGTGTGTGTGTGTGTGTCTGTGTCTGTGTCTGTGTCTGTGTCTGTGTCTGTGTCTGTGTCTGTGTGTTTGTGTTTGTGTTTGTGTTTGTGTGTGTGTGTGTGTGTGGCCGCGTGCGTGCGTCTCTGGGTGTGCGTGAGTGTCTGTGTGTGTGTGTGTCTTTGTGTGTGTGGGTGTCTATGTTTGTTTGTTTGTTTGGTTGGTTGGATGGCTGGTTCGTAGGTTTAATTGTTTGTTTGTCTGTGTGTGTGCTTGTCTGTGTATGTGTCTGCGTCTGTGTATGTGTATGTGTAGGTGTATCTGTATGTGTATGTGTATGTGTATGTGTATGTGTATGTGTGGGTATGTATGTGTGTGTGTGTGTATATATATATATATACGTGGGTGTGTGTGTGTATGCGCGTGTGCGTGTGTGTGTTTTTGTTTGGCCTGTGGATGAACATGTACATGTACTGGTACCTTTTGACGTCCGTGCCGTTTTAATTGAATGCGCAAGCTCCGTGTCTTAAGGACAGTCAGCGCCAGCCAGAAAAACGCGGATGGCAGTTTAAGGAAAGGACAAGCTAATCTTGAGACGTCCGTGCCTGTTCATGCTAGACTGTGCCGGATTACAACTTTGTTGTGTGTCGGTGCGGGGCTGGCTAAGCCCTAACCCTGACTGTGTGGCAAGGAAAGTTCATTCTTGCCGCGATCGAGAAGTGGTACGGGAGCCAGGAGCAAATTGAAGCTGACGCAACCCATATCCCGGGGTGGTGTTTGGAAATATGAAGCTTGCAGGAGTTAGATTCCGGTTTTGGGGGCCGAAGCATTTCTACGGAGGGCTTGTCGCTTAAACTTCATGCTGCAGTCTTCCATGCATGTTCGTGCACTCGCTCGTTTATGCTAACCCCCCCCCCACCTTGGTGGTTCTACGGTGTTACACGCATGTCAATGTAGTCATGGTATTCGAAGTAAGGCCCCTCACAACGTGTTCAGATTTTTGCATATGTGGCATCCACTGGTGCAATTGAACAAGCCCAGATTAGTAGAAAGATGTAGAAAGCTTCACTTGCCGGCCATGCCCACACTACTTGCACATACCGTGGGGATGTAGCGTGTAGGGTTCAGGGTTTGCTACACCCGTTTCTCTTCAGGTAAGCTCAGGCTGCTTGCGTTGGTGAGGCTCCCTGTGTCAGTGGCACACACGTGTCTTGTTCAGGATCCGCTTGTCAATACACAGCCCCCGTGTTGATCCACAACCTCCATTGATCTGCTTTAGTATTAGTAACAGTATATATCAACGTTGGTTTCAGTACAAGTGTTAGTTAGTACTAGTACTATGGCTCTTTTCGGCCTTCGTAAATCCACAGTTCCCTGCAAGGCAGGTGGAGCGACTCTCAACATGTTCCACCAAAAGGTGCTGCCCCCTCTGTTCACAACCACGACACACAACTCCCGGACTGTTTGCAGATTGTAGGTGGGTGAGGCAAGTAAACAGTGCATTTTTCGCGGGGCTGTTAGTCTCACATGGCCGCCCGCTTATGAGACCAGATGTCGATAAGCATGAGGGTGGAACATAAACACAATGCCACAAGGCTGTTCACGCATAGGACTTATATATGTTGCCTGAAGTTCCTGCATCTTTCATCTCGGAAGCATGAGTGACCGTGGAATGCATACCACACGTAGTTGGGGACAGGGGAAGCATAGTTCCCGGCGCGGGGGCTGCCTTGTGTATGTACGTGCCTCTGTTGTGCGGGTGGGTGGATGTGTGGGTGTTGGGTAGGTGGGTGTATGTTTGTTTGTCCGTCCGCCCATCCATCCCTCCGTTTGTTTGTGTGTCTGTCTGTCTATCTGTCTGTCTGTCTTGCGGTGTGTTATTATATTCCGTATTATTATTACTACTACGTATTATAACGTATTATAGTACTTTTACTATCTGTCTTCGCAGGAAGCCTTTTCTGAGTTTGTGCAGACCGAGCTGCGCCAGCAGCTGGAGCCACTGCTGGCCACCAGTCGCTTCCCCACTCCATATCTCCTGCTGGTTTTCGCCGCATTGATGACCGCTAGCCTCGAATTCCTTCTAGCTTTGTGGAAAGGCGGCTTGGATAGACAATGGCAGAACTTTAATCTGTTTGGCCTCATGAATTTGGTCCATCTTAGAAATGTTTAGCTTTTTGGGGCCCGACCATTGAAGAAGAGAGGCGGTGCTCCACCCGCATGTTTGGTGTCCTTTGCCGTCGGGATCCTTGTGGGTGTGGACATCTTCTTGGTTGGTGCCTTGATCGTGCCTTGGTTGATGTTGAGTTTGTGGCTCAGCCTCTATCTAATCTATCTATCTGTCTATCAATCGATCTGTCTATTTGTTTATGTATCTCATACTATGCCTATGCTATACTATACTATACTATAATATACTATACTATACTATACTATATTATACTATATTATACTATACTATATTATAATATACTATACTACGCTATACTATACTACACGACGAATACTCCACTATACTGTACGGCACTATACTATGTCATGCTATGTATGCCATGCTATGCGATGCTGTACTATACTAGGCAGTGCTATGCTACACTATATCACGCAAAAATATACGGAGTTGTGTTCAGGGCTTCCGGCGAAGGATCTCTTCTTGCAGCTTGCACACCCCGCCCTCCGGCAAAGCTTTTGGCTCAGGTTTTTTTCGCAAACATTTGCGATCGTCTGGCACCTCAGCGCTTCGGCAGATTCGATCATCTGCAGACCGCCTTGACCCTTGGATATTCTGGGTTTAGGATTTAGGGTTCAGGGTTTAGGGGATTAGAGGTTTAGGGTAAGTCAGCCCTAAGCCTCATGCTCTTTGTCGCGCTGCTTCTTGTGATGCTAAAATAGCAGTAGAAACACCAACAGCAAGGGCCATGCTGCTTATCACGGTGGTCTTCGGCATTGGATCGTCCATGGGGACTGTTGCCTACAGCTCCAGCCTGGAACATGGCTTTCTCTTTGCGGCTATGATAGACATTTGAGGAACTTTTTCTGTGTTGAGGAAGCAAGAGCCCAAAATCCCCAAGCGCCCGAAGCCCCAATATAATACAATATAATGTAGCATAATACAATACAGTATAATCTGATAGAACACAATATGATGCATAATAAAATGCAATAGAAAAAACTGCCCCCGAGGCATTAGCATGCCTATTGCTTGGTTGCTTCATCTGGTGGATAGATGGAGCCGCTAACTCTTGTGCCTGCTGCTCACAGCCGTCACCAGAGCACGAGGTGCGTTGCTACGGTTTAGAGTTTAGGGGTTTAGGGTTTAGGGTTTAGGAACTGATTTCTTCAGCGCGTTTGTAGGGTTAGGGGAGATCCTGCAGATGCTGCAATGCTTGCAAGTACTCCTGTCGTCGTATATGAGGGTACATGGGATGTCATTGCCCTTAAATTCAATTCGCTTCTCCATTTCTTGCTTGCTGTCTCTGTCACACGAATGTGCTCGTGTGTATAGATACATGCATGTGTTTGTGGTTAAATCGCATAATACTACAGGGCTGCTCAGGATGTAAATCGCCCTTCCGTGTGCATGTATGCAGGTAGGTATTTAGGGTCAGTTAGGAAGTCACAGACCACCAGCACCATGTGTCTGTATGTTCCATCATCCTATTATGTGTCGGCATGATACTGCAGCCTCGCGATACCCGTACACTGCTTCATGTTTGAAAGCGGCATTTGTCCAAAGCTCCTCGCTTTTGGCACAAGCCCTGAAACGCTGGTAGTCCCTGCTCACGCTTGGAACCCGAAATCCCACGTCTCAAACTGGGGCGCGATCCTGGTTAAGGTCTCGTTTAGGTTCCGGGTGTGGGTTTAGGGCTTGACGATCTAAGCTGCAGGTTCAGGGCTTGCGGATGAATGGGTCAGGGTCTAGGATTTCGGACTCGCCAAGGTTGCACCGTCTCATCAGACTGCTTGCAGTCCGATTCCAGAAGTGTCCGAACAACCGTGATGCAAAGACAGCTGGCTGCACAAAATGAGCCTTTGATGCAAATCTCTACATCAATCGTTTAGGGCGTGTAGGTTTATTCATTTGTTTCGGCCCACCTTCACTTACTATAACCCACTCTTGCAAGGTGGCCTTTTCAAAAACTGGAGAAGTCGTAGGGGCACTACAAGGCAGTAGGCCATGGTCGTTTCCCTAAAACCTAAACCCTAAACTCGAAGCCGTGGTTGAAACCCAAAATCCTGAGAGGGTGTAAGTGTCGGTAGGTTGCATGCCTCAAGGAGGCTCTCCGTGCGCTGTGCAGAACTGTTTGATAATTGTAGTCGTTGGCGTACCCTGAAACCTCACCGTCCAACCTGAGCCTGCCTTAGCAGGCATCGAGCTTAGCTTTAGGGTTTGGGGTTCAGGTTTTCCCGTAGCCCTTATACAACACCCCGGCAAGAGTCGATGAACAACCTGTTCAAACCCGTATAAAGCCGGTTTGAAACCCCTTTGAATATATCCTAAGCCCTAAACCCCAACCTTCAGCCCTAAGCCCTAAGCCCAGCCACACGTTCAACATGTCCGAGGTTCTCCAAAGATCCCCCGCTGCGAGGAAGCAAGTGCTGGAGGTAGGAAAGGTGATATAAATCCTGCATTACCCATAATAAGGAATATACCATGATTCCCATAGTTTAGGGTCCTTAAGGTACTACCCATAATAAGGAATATACCATGATTCCCATAGTTTAGGGTCCCTAAGGTACTACCCATAATAAGGAATATACGATAATTCCCATAGTTTAGGGTCCTTAAATTCATGCAGGATTTGTATCATCAACAGTAGTTCTCTATACTAGGGTCCCTTTCGGGTCCTTTATGTAAGGGGTGCCGTACTATTCTGGGGGACCTAAACAGGGACCCTAGGATTTGTATCATCAACGGTAGGAAAGGTCAGCTTCGGGGCCCAGAACCCAGGGGTACAGCGGTTTAGGGCGTTGACTTGTCCTGAACCCTAAACCCGAATCCCGAAGCCCTTATAATCCCGAAGCCCTAATCCCTAAACCCTAAACCCTAAACCTAAAGCCTAAACCCGAAACCGTTTGGGCCTTGGTTTACCCTGGGCTGTGTGGGAACTCTCGGGCTGTTTGAGGCTTCTCACATATGAAGTTTTGAATTTCTTGGACCTTCGGCCCAGGGTTTAGGGTTAGGGTTTAGGGTTTAGGGTTTAGGGTTTAAGGTTGAGAGGTGTATAGTTGTAAAGTCTCGATAAGAAGTTACTTCCATACGGCTTGCATGAAGTTGCTTGTAAGGGCTGTCTCTGTCTAGAAGGTCTTCGACTAAGTCTAGAAAACCATCGAACGTGTCGGGAGGTATATCGCATCATACAGTAAAAGATGCCCTGAACCCTAAACCCTAAAGCCCTAAACCGCACCTTGCCAAGCAATTGGTTTTCGTCGGGCTGACAAGTATGTCGGGCCTGGTTTCAACTTACGGTCCGGGGCATCCGGTCGAAACTAGTTACCACAGATCAGGGTGTAGGGTTTAGGGTTTAGTGTTTCTCTTACGGGGTTGTGATGAGCTGAGTATGCTTGCCATGTTTTGCCATCAATCAACAAGGGCTTGCGCTGCTAAGCCCTAAACCCTGAACCCTTATGTTCCAGAAGGCCTCGTGGCCCCGCGACAAGGAAGCAGCCCGTAAATCACCCTGGGCCCTGAATCCTAAATCAAGCATAAAGGGTTTGGGCTCTCTGGGTCCGCAAGTTGGGCTGCGTTACGGGTTCAGGGGTTCAGGGTTTAGGGTTTTAGGGTTTAGGGTTCAGGGTGTAGGGTTTTAGGGTTTAGGGTTGTCATCATCATTACCTTAGTGGGGGGAATCACTTTTCGGCCCCTGGAGAACTCGGCCATCGAGGTTTCTGGCCACTGGGTCAGAGCTACCGCGACCCGAATTTTCTGAAACTACCGGATGCCCAGGGTCTAACCCGGCCCCATGTGAAAATCCATCGAAGATACTTTGGAAGCCGATATTGAGGGCTCGTCGATGTCACTAGTGCTTTGGATTCCTGGAGCGTCTCTAGACCCTAAGCCGAAAAGCCTAGGAGCCTTAAGCCCTAAGTCTAGGACCACGGTATTCTATGGTGCTGTTCTACCTTTTTGAATTTGTTCGTGCGATGTTGCGGATTTGTTCATGAACCATAAATCGCTTGGAGCCTTAAACCCTTCCGTAAACTTAAGATGTGCACCCGATCGAGACCCCGGGAAGCTTTGAATCCTTTTAACGCTAGAGCAGCCAATGCCGAGCAAGTCCGGCAATATAAGGGCCTTGAGAATTACCAAGGAGGTTCCTGATCATATATTGGGGACCTAATAAGAGACCCTATTTCAGAGAATTACCCATATAGTACCATTATGGAATTAGGTTCCTAATAACCTTAGTTCTGGTATGATATCCCCGAGAACCCTGTTCTAACCTCTAAGGCGCCTATAGTGGGGTCTTCGGTAGTTTTGCGTTTGAAGCATCTGGGTCGCTTGTTGGCCGAGGGGTTTACGTTTGGGCTAGTGGTCTTCGCGTCACCACACCATAAACCTTATTTTTAGGGTTTAGGGTTTAGGGCCTAGGGTTTAGGGTTTACGGCTTATCCCAGCTGAGCTTTGTTTGACAGTTTCTTATACTCGGCATTTTGAATCGGAAGGGTGGCCCAAACGTGTTTAGGGGTAAGCGTTGCGAGTAATGAGCGTTAAGACAGAATTTACGCCTCAACCCGCCAAGCCCTGAACCGTACCCTAAACACTCATTTTGAGCAGCACATGGTTCCCACGAAGCAGACACAACAAAAGAGGCGAGCCTCACATTCTGGCGTTAGGGTGAATACCGTTCGCATTGTAGGGTTAAAGGTTTAGGCACATTGTGTGTCGGTGGGGATAGCAGCTCGAGCATTGGAGATATCAGGGTTTGGGTTTCTCATGTACTTGTGTTTCAGCGAGCCCTTCGACGTGGAGGCATGCTTACCACGTAGCTGCCCGCCTCATGCCCGCGTTGACCATGGAAAGAAAGGGAGCGATTCGTGGTTTAGGCCAATGCCCGCAGGCCCCAAAGGGGCCAACAAGGCAATGGTCTGTTTTTCCCTAGGCAGGGCCCGAAGATATCTTAGACTTGGTCGCCAAATTGGGTTGAACGGGATTTTATTTAGCATACCTCTGAAGGGGTTTGCTGGGCCAACCTAGTCTCTTGTCCGCAGGTTCGACATACTCGGCTTCTGGCCGTTCCTAAATTTTGAAAGAACCTGTTGACCGTCTGTGAATGCAGCTGAAGGATTCGGCCCGGAACGAGGCCCGGCCAACACATAAACTGAGGACAGTCGTCAGTCACAGGATAACATCAAGGATAATAAGGCTCCTTAGTGAACTCGGACTGTGTCTATAGGAAGAATTGTTAGGCCTGTAGGGCTCTGTGCTCTAGGGTTTTGGGGTTCCCTCACGATTTTAGGGTTTAGGCTGTAGGCTGTTACTGTTTTTTTGTCACTCAGAGTCTACTTCCTGCATGGGGCTTGGTTGTGATGGATCATTTAAGCGTTTGAAGCGATCCCTTGCTTGCGCCATTGCTGAAACGAGCGTGGTGTGGCCGTGACTTCTTGAGTTCGGGTCGGGGTCGGCAGGCTGACATCGTGGGGACGCCTTTGGTTTGGCAAAGGAGATTGCTCACCTGGTGCTTTCATGACAAGCAGTATGATGAGCACCACTGTGGTGTTTCATGTTTTGTGCCTATGGTTTGGGCTTAAAGCCCCAACCTAGCATTCTGAACGTTCCATTCCACTCGAGGAACTGTTTGCTGGAGAGCTTGCAAATACCGAAAAGCCGGGATCCCCGAAAATTCGAATCTTTAAATTCTATACCATCTCGAGCGTGATCAGCATAATTCTGATTATAGGAGAAAAAGTATTTAAATATATATAAATATATATATATATATATAAATATATAAATATATATAAATATATATAAATATATATATATATATTTATTTATTTATTATTTATATAACCTGTACCCCCTAATATTAAAAGATACTCGGAAAGTATTTTTATTATTAGAGGTTATGTTTATCTCTATTGTTAGGTTTGGGTATAATTATGGCCGTTCTGCATAGGCAGGCGAAGCTAGGGCCTGTAAAACTTCAAGACAAATAGGCAATCAGGTTTGTGGATTAGGAGAGTGCGAGGTAGGCTTCGAACATGCGCGTTCTTAGATCGACTTGTAGATAGGCCGTCATAATTGAGAAAGGACCGCCAATTGATAATTAGAAAGGCTCCCCCTAAACTCTTAAGTGTTGCCCTATTCTCTCCCCATTTAGAATAGGTTTTAAAAGGTAGGGGCGATTTCGAGAGGGTTGGTCTAATATATTTTTATTATTTGGGGGGAGTATTTAATATAAAGACTAGGGATTGATATTTATTATTTTTTACGATTCTGACTTATTAATTTTATCGATTGGAATTGATCGAGCCGAATTATTTTATGGTTTAATTATATTATGGTTACGAGAGGAAGGTTTTAATAAATATTCGGTAAGTATTTTGAATATTAAAGAGGTTCTTTATTTAGATTATTAGATTTAGATTTAGAATTTTACGAAAATTTCGCTTAATATTTCGATAAAATTATTTAGAAGACAAAAAATCTTAAAAAAATAATTAAAATCTGAATTAATTAGTTTTATTCGGTAGATATAAACAATTAAAGAAATTTTTAATTATGAAAAATCGAAAAATTAAATTTATATAGATAGAGCTATAGATAAATCGAACGAAATAATTTATAGAGAAAGCTAAGAGAGAGGAGGTTATTTTAAATCTTGAAATTTTAGTTATAAAACTTCTCAAAATAAGAGAAGATATTTGAAAGCTTGGGCCGAAAGGATTTTTATTATAGGGGGTATTTAATAAAAGATGGAAGAGATAAAGAATATATTATTTTTTAATTTTGTAATTTAAATTTCTATATTATTTATTTAGAGGTTTTTTATAGTC